AAAGATAGTAGTTTTAGAGGTTACCAAGTTTTATGGGAAGGGAGAAATGGGGAGTTATTGCTTAAAGGTTACAGGTTTCCGGGGTGATGAAAAAGTTTTGAAAATAGATAGTGGTGATGATTGTACAACATTGTGAATATAATTAATACCAATAAATTTTACACTTAAAAATGGCTAAAATAGGCCGGGGGCAGTGGCTCATGCCTGTAATCCCAGCACTTTGGGAGGCTGAGGCAGGCAGAGCAACTGAGGTTGGGAGTTTGAGACCAGCCTAACCAACATGGAGAAACCCCATCTCTACTAAAAATACAAAATTAGCTGGGTGTGGTGGTGCGTGCCTGTAATCCCAGCTACTCGGGTGGCTGAGGCAGGAGAATTGCTTGAACCCAGGAGACAGAGGTTGCAGAACTCAGCTTCCTGTGTATGTAAACTCAGCTTCCTCAAAATAGGAGTTTACAGATCATTAAAAAAATATTTATTATTAATAAGTTTAATAAAATTACGTTACTCTTATATTTTCCTTTATTCCACATCATTAAAATAGCTGTATAATCTACTTTTTCTGTTTTGAAATGTTTTTCAGAATGAATACAGGCAAAGCAAAATCTTTTAAAATTATTCATTATTGCTAAGAAAAAAGCTAAATCTGGTCATAATTTATATTGTAGTGCTTTTCTCTTGACATCAGAACCTTGATCGTCCCATTAGCTATGCTGTTAAAATAAATTTTAGTAAGAAATTAGGAGGAGGAAGGAAAAATGTGTTGATAAAATTTATCCTAAAGGAATCAGTGTGAAGTAGTGAGTAATAGGAATGAAAGATAACTGCTTTCAGGCTTAAACGCATATATCAGTATAGGGAGGACAAATACATTTATAGTTCAGGAATAATTAACCAAATCCATAAGAAAAACTAATGAATATGACTGAATCTTTTGACACCAGGAATTTTAGTGAGTTTTAGTTGATAATGAGGACAAATTAAATTCCTGAATGTTTTCAATATTGGTGTAAGAGTTGTACTTCAGGGGACAAAAGTCTCTCATTGTGCTTGCAATTACATTCAAGAACAGCCTCCTGGACATTATTTATCTACTTATCTATAGCCATTTTCTATTCTTCACTATAAAACTAATAAGCCTGGTTTTAGTTACTGTTGTTTATTAATAGCTATCAATGAAAGAGATGCCTATCAGCATTTAAGTTACTGCCAGCATCCTTCAGTTGTGATAAGCTGTAATACAGAATTTGTCATTCTTATTATATTCTTATTCTTGTATCAATAATGATTAGAAGAGGTGAAGGGATTTCCTTATATACAGCCACTCTGACTTTGAACATTTTCCTCAAACCATTAGATGAAAAGCACAAAATTTTGCAGTTGCTATTAGAAACACATTTTTTTTTGTTAAATGTGAGACCCTTAAGAGCAAGGTTTTATGTCCTGTGTCACATAATATTCCTAGCAGACTACAGATTACCCAACCTTTCTTAAAACGTTCTGAGAGAATTTTTGTATCTAGTAAATTGATTTCTCTCTTACCCATACAGAATGGTACTAGTTGTGTGCCACCCTTAGGAGAATTAAGAAGACAGTCAAATAGTCAAACAATTTTCTGTGTTTGATAGTTTAGATGAGAAACCTCAGTTGAGAAGGGATATATAGAGTGTATAAAAATCACCCCCCTGCAAAACTGTTGAATTAATAAATGAGAACATATCACCTGACAGACTGAAAGTCTTCTTTCCTAAGTCCATCATTATTTTAACTACTGCAGTTTTCAACTGCTTGAAGACAAGAATCAATTCTCTTTAACTTCTTTAATCCTTTTAAGGTATAGGACACTATGGCACAGAGTTCAATTTAACTCACATCATGTTTCATCAGTGGATTAAAACACAGACACATGTGCACGCGTGCGCGCGCGCACACACACACACACACACACACACACACACATACAGACATGTATGAATGCGCACATTACCTAAACCATATTCCAAACCTAGTGAATCAGAATCTCCGGGGTTTGAAGCTAGGAATCTTTTTAGAAAAATATCTATGAGTGGTAGAAGGCTGAATATACAGGATGAAAAATCTTTGAATTGAAATGAATTTCTATTCCTATTGTTGGTTTCTCTAAACATGACCTGGTTCTCTCATCTTAGTCATCTTCATTTAAACCTTGCCTTTCAAATGCCTACCTCTCTCCTCTTTAAGCCCACATTATTCCGTTTCAAAGGTATGCCATCATACTGTCCTTAAATTGGTTATTTTAAAACAATTTAACTTTCTTCAAAATCATTTTTGTTATCTTACAATCATCCAAGATCTGAGTTATTTTAACTTAATTCTCCCTTTTATTCATAGAATACAGTCTTCTAAATTTTATTATTTGGCCTTCTGTAACCTTTCTAAAAGTTTATAATTCTTCTGCTCCTAATTATATCTCGAACATATTAATCTTTCATGTTAATTATGTGGTTTCCCCTATTTCTTTGCTATTAATTTAATTTCTTCTTAGACAAAAGTATAAGTGCTATTGAATCCATTTCTAGTTCTATAACTAAAAGAAAAACAGACACTTGAGCCAAAAACAATCCAGTGTCCACCAACAGGTGAACTGATAAACAAATTGTGTTATATACATACAATGGAATATTAGTGTTAAAAAGGAATTAAATTCTGATACATGATACAGTATGAATGAAACTTGAAAACATTTGGCTATGTGAAATAAGCTAGACAGTGAAAGATAAAACTATGATTCTACTTATATGAGGTATCTAGAATAGGCAAATTTATAAAGACAGAAAGTAGATTAGAGTTTACCATGGGTGGGGGAGGGAGAAATGGAGCTTTAGTGGGTACATAGTTTCTATATGGGATGATAAAAAAAGTTTTAGAAACAGTGGTGATGGTTGCACAAAACTGTGAATGTGCTAATATCGCTGAATTGTACACTTAAAATCGGTTAAAATTATAAATTTCATTTTATCACAATTTTAAAAAGCTACTGAAATGATTTTCTTCAGTAGAGCATCCTTTTTGTTCACACTGACAAATTTTATCTCTGTCATTAAAAGAAAATTAAAAAAACCATTTATACTTTTTCCATATCCCTAAATGTATCACCTCTTTAGATTTTTTCCTTTTTTGTAAAAATAAAATTTAATATGGATACTCAGCATTTTCCATACTTCGAGCACAATGATGTTATAGACACACACATAAAACACTTCAAATCTATATATACACATGTGTATGCATACATACACACCCCAATGTAAATCTCCTCCTTATACTCTTACAAATTTCACCAAAATTCTTCTTTGGCTCTTGTATTTGAGCTTTCATTTAAATATAAGCAAATAAGACTGTAAGCTTTACGGTACAGATAATATTATGTTGCAAGTTATTTTTAGATGCCAAGTACTTTGTAAATACAATAATGCAAAAACATCAATTTCAAAGGTTTACCCAACATGCAAGAAAAAAGTTTAAAAGGAGGGAAGATAAATACATCAAAAGGATCTCTAAAGAACGGGTATTACGTAAACTATGAGGAAGCTGAGAAATGATATTCTCAAAGGGAAAAATAGAGCACAGCAGAAAGCTACTTTAATCTGAACTACAAAGAACTATAAGATAATTAAATTTATTATTTTTAGAGATGGTACTTTGAAGTTGCAAAAAAATTCTTCTGGTGTTACTAAAAAGGATAAAATTAATAGGAGTAACGTGTCCTTATAAAACCCTGGAAAATTTAGGAAAAATAAATTAAGAATTTTAGTATATGGAAAATTATTGAAAGATCCCATACACAAGAAATAAATGTACATAATATATGATGTGAAAAGAAAACTTAAGATGATGATTTATAAAAAATTATATTCCTACATAAAGAGAAGAATGTGGAGTTGTATAAAAAAAAGCAGAGGGGTGGTAGTGAGTTTAAAAAGTCAGTTTAGGAGCAAACTGGACTGGGCTGTTAAACAGCAAAGCATTTTCCTATTTCTAAGTTATGTTTGGACAATTTGGACAATATGTAGGCAAAACTTTTATTGGAAATAAAATATGATCAGGGTTACAAGACATAGAGGAGCAATGCCAGTGATTTTTTAAATGCAGCAAACTATAAACGAGGCATCACGGGCCAATCAGTAAGTTGCCAGTACACAGGAGATGATTGCAATGTTTCAAATAAATTAATGGGGCAGCCACAGGCAACAAATAGATAGAGAAGGCAACAGTTGAGCAAACTCAGTCAGCAGGCTAACTCACTGGCACAAGGCAAGTATAGATGATAGCAGAAATGCTAAACAATCTCACCTACTTACAGTGTTACAGGCACAGATTGGGCAGGGCAAGATCAGGCAGGCAGATGGCGTAGCACTTGTTAGGCCATAGTATAGGGGAATTGTAGGGGAGCAGGTAGATAATGTCGGGCAGTCTAAAATGCTAAAACAGCAGATGGATATGGCGGTACCAGGCCATTTGCTGATGGACAAAGCACCAGTGAGTGAAGAATGCAAATCATTCAGCAGATGAGTGAAGTGAGGCAAAAAGTAGAGACAAAAACCAAAGGCAATCAAGCAGGTAGACAGAACAGTAGAGAAACAATTACAGATCATCAGAAGCAGTTGGGTAGGGGAATAACAAGCTCTCAGAAGAGGAATAAAACACCATTCAGGAAAAGATGAGATTCAGAGTGAGGCAGTCCCCTGAATTGGGTGTCTTCCATCTAGGATACAGTAATCAATAAACTGCATATGAGAATCCACAAGAGAACAGCACACAAATGGAAACAGCAGATGGATCTGAACTCTATTGCCCAGGGAAACAGAATGACCCTAGAACATATAGATACATAACAATCCACAAGGAAATTAAACAGATGCGAAAAATGGGTCCAAGCATTTTTTATGATGATAAAATAAACCAAACACTAAAAATTATTAATCTGAAAATGATTGGCTGGGATTGAAGTCTTCGCTTACCCCTTTCTGGAGCCCACAAAATGGGAATGTTGGGAATTTCTGCAGCAGAAAAACAGAAGAGAAAAGGGATTTCTGACTCCCAGTTTGAGGAAAGCAGGTCAAATTTAGGGCTATATGAACTGGTTCAGGGAAATAAGAACCAGCCTGAACCTTCTCCCTTCCTCAGAATGAAACCATTTCTGAGTTATGGGAAAGGTTTAGGAAGCCCTCACCCCATCATTCCCCACAACCTCCCCTCTCACACTTACCTCCAGTGCAAACAGTTTCCAGCAAGGAGGTACTTGGAAAAATTCACTCCTATGTTTACACCATGGCAAAATGGGAAGATGGTCAACTAATGGTACTTCCTGGTTTCTGATTCAGAGGGATCCCATCCACTCTTTGTGAATGAGCAGGGGGACAAATTGCTACAAACTACCTACCTCTTTGAAAGTGGATGAGAAAGAATCAGGGGCAGTAATATCAATCAACAGATATTGATACCAGTAAATATCTTGGTGATCTCATTAATTGTCATGGATTTTAATTCCATTTATATGTTGATGACTCCAAAAAATAATATTTCTAGCTCAGATTTTCCTAATAAAGTCTAGATGCATATACTTAATATCTACTTTTTGAATGGGGGGGTGAAGAAAGGAGTCTCGCTCCGTCGCTCAGGCTGGAGTGCGGTGGTGTGATCTCAGCTCACTGCAACCTCTGCCTCCTGGGTTCAAGCAATTATCCTGTCTCAGCCTCCTGAGTAGCTGGGATTACAGACGTGCACCACCATGCCCAGCAGAATTTTGTGGGCCTTTTTTTTTTTTTTTTTTTTAGGTAGAGACAAGGTTTCACACTGTTGTTCAGGTTCGTTTTGAACTCCTGACCTCAGGTGATCTGCCTGCCTCGGTCTCCCAAAGTGCTGGGATTACAGGTGTGAGCTGCCGTGCCCAGCCTCATATACCTAATATCTAATTGCAATTCAATATCTCTACTTGGATATCTAAAGGAAGTTCAAGTTTTCATAACCAAAGTAAAATTCTTGATCTTGTCCCTCAAACCTACTCTTCCCACAGTCTTCTCCATTTCAGTAAATGGAAACTCCATCCTTCTAATTCCCAAGGCAAATCTTGGGTCTTATACCTGACTTATTTCTCTTATTCCATCTGTTACCTCCCTTCAAAATATATCAATCATCTACTTCTCACTACTTCCATCTCTATCACTGGTCTATGCCATTGCCACTTTCCACCTGGATTATTTTAATAGTCTCCTAACTTGTTTCCCCATTAAAATATGTCAGTTCATGCCATGCCTCTCCTCTATTACATTAAGGGTGGCATACAGGTTCCACATGATCCATGGCTTCCTCCCTCTCCTCCTTTAGGTCTTTGATCAAATGCACCTTATCAATGAGGCCTTCCTTAATGAATGACCCTATTTAAAATTATAACCCTCTTTCCTGCCTGGGCTACCCATCTTCCCTCCCTGGTTTATCTTTATTCATAGCACTTAACATCTCCAGTACTATACATTTTACTTGTTTTTTTTTAAGTTTGTATCTTCTCACTAAAATGTAATGACTACTTAGCTCATTGCTCTATCCCAACATCTTAAATAGTGCCTGGCATATATGTATATGTATATGTACATGTATATGTATATGTATATGTACATGTACATGTATATGTATATGTATATGTATATGTATATATCTAGTAGGCTTAAAGTACGTATTTAAGTCCATGAAACTTCTTATGGGGCTTCCTCTCTCAATCTCAAATTTTCAGAATATTTTTCCAAAAGCTCACATACTATGAGCTTTTGGATTAACAGAGCAGATGCTAGTGCACTATAGAATAGAAATGTTCTGAAACAGGGGGTGGCAAACTATAGCCCAAGGGCCAAATCCTGCCCATTTGTATGGCCTGCAATCTATAAATGATTTTTGCATTTTTAATGATTCAAGACATAATCAAAAGAAGAATAGTATTTAATGACACGTGGAAATATATGAGATCCAAATTCAGTGTCCATAATAAAGTTTCATTAGAGCATAGCCAGGCTCATTCATTTATATCATCTATGGCTGCCTGTGTGCTACAGGTCTGGCAGAGTTGCGTAGTTTTGACAGAGACCATATGCCCTACAAAATCTAAAAAAACTTACTATCTGGCCCTTTTAAATAATAAGTTTGCTGACCCCTGTCCTATAGTATTTTATATTTAGCAGAGTCTCGCTCTGCACCCAGGCTGGAGTGCAGTGGTGCCATCTTGGCTCACTGCAACCTCCACCTCCCAGGTTCAAGTGATTCTCCTGCCTCAGCCTCCAAGAAGCTGGGTTATAGGGGTGCACCACCACACCTGGTTAATTTTTGTATTTTTAGTAGAGACAAGGTTTCACCATGTTGGCCCGGCTGGTCTCGAACTCCTGACCTCAGGTGATCCACCCACTTCAACCTCCCAAACTGCTGGGATTACAGGCGTGAGCCACCGCACCCAGCCTGCTTTCAATATTATATATAAGTAGCCTCTCATTCCTCTAAATATTCTTTATTACAGAGGGTGATATTCATTCATTGATCTACCCCACAGAGAAGCCCCATCTTGAGGGACAAAGTACAGTGCCAGTAAGTCTTGAAAATGGCAAAATGGGAGAGAATGAAAGAAGAAATAAATAGGGCCCATAAATAGAACTTATATTATCACACAATTAACTAAACTTCTAAACACATACCCTAACAATAGTTGGAAATCAGCATGATATGAATTTCTTTCAAATCTCATCAATGGGGTTATTATTAATGGGGTTGCCTATACAATGTAATCTTGAATCACAGCAGGCAATTGACACGTTATAATAATACTGCATTATAGTTATACAATATTCAAAACTAACAATTATATTCCCTCTGGTTCAAATATCTCTATTTTGTAAAAAAGAATATTTTAAAAATTTTGTAAAATCACATTCAGAAGTACCTCCTAATCAAAATTGACCTAGCTTTTCTTTCTGTAAAGCTTCAGCCTGAGGATTATTCCATGCAAGAATATTATGTTATTTGCTGCAATCAAACTTATAGAATGGAGTGAAGAAGCTGAGGGGAAGACACTTAAATTATCCCAGTGGCACTGCTGGCTACAATGTTATCTTCATTCTTCATAGAGGAGCGTAATTTATTTCTTTGTATATCAATTAGTCAGTCCTTCCAGCATGATGGATTGCTTCTTCTACATTGTTGCCTTCGGCCTTTAGTCTCGCTCACACAGTGAAACTAACAACCATCATCTTCAAACTGTACTTCCAAGAGGTATACTGCTTCTTTCCTTTCAGCATTTTTTGAAGGAACTTGGATCCTTTCTGCTAATTCTCATCTGTGTGCCACTAATAATTATCTGAGGCTAGGTGCAGTGACTTACACCTATAATCCCAGCACTTTGGAAGGCCAAGGCAAGTAGATCACAAGGTCAGGAGTTTGAGTCCAAGCCTGACCAACATGGTGAAGCCCCATCTCTACTAAAAATACAAAAATTAGCTGGGCATGGTGGTGCACACCTGTAGTCCCAGCTGCTCGGGAGGCTGAGGCAGGAGAATCACATGAACCTGGGAGGCAGAGGTTGCGGTAAGTGGAGATCGCACCACTGCACTCCAGCCTGGGCGACAGAGCAAGACTCCGTCTCAAAATAATAACAATAATAATAATAAAATAATTATCTGAAAAGGTTACTACCTCCAGTGAACATTTATCCTTCATACTTTAGTAGCAGTTCCAAGTTCCAATATAAGAAAGTAACACTGGTAAAATTATTAAAATAATTACAATTATTTACTTTGTTGTCTGAATCTACTTTCTGAGTCCCTATGAGATGCCTTTTATGGCAGGCAGTAACAACAAAGTTACAAATATTCTGCCCTTCTAATACAGTGATATTATTCTGAGAAGTTCACAGTATTTGACAGATATAAAGTACTCATTTGTTGTCATCTTATTACATTTCATGTGAAAAGCAACAGTAAGTCCATTTTATAGACAGGTATCTAATATACTAGAGAGAAATTCATATTCCTGATTCCAGGCAGCAATAAAGAAAGGAATATCCTGAAATCTTCATTCCTGAGACTATGTCTCTAGATAAATATACTTTTAGCATTTTACTAATATATCTGTAAAAGATTTATTTATATTTTGTTGTTAATGTCTTAGCACATGTTTTGTAAAAGCAAAGTATTCTGGTATGCTAGCCTTTCTTCATTTTTACAAGAGTAGACTCGTAAGGGTGAATTCGAAAGGTGACTTCAAGGTACTATCACTCTGATAAATTGATGCTAAAATAATGATTTAACATGTTCTCTTTGATATTTCTTTTTCCTTTTCCACAACTATACTATTGTGTACTCTAGGTCGTACCCTGTTTGATTTTTTTTCTCCAGAGAGAATTCTTATAATATTTATTCAACCATCAGCTACTTATTTTTAAAGCTAAAGCTCTTTCTAGATATATTCTAGATAATAATAGCACAGATGTATATAGCAAGTAAATATTGTTTTAAGTGCCTTGCTTATATTACTTACAGAATATAACTACCCTATGAGGCAAGTACTCTTAGCTATCTTCATTTGACATATAATAAAACAGGTTTTTAAAGTTAATTGTATAGGGTTGCATACTAATAAAAGGTGGATCTGAGATTCAAGCCCAAATAGTCTGTGCTCTTAACCATTATGCTATTTTTGTTATTATTGTTTTTATGTCCCATTACAGAGCAGAATTAACCACAATGTTATGCTGCTCCATAAAAGGTTATATGGGCAACAGTATTTTTCTAGTCAGAGCTGTAATTAGAAACATAACTTATCATCACTTGTGTCTATACTTACTTGTATGTTTATTTAACATATGATCTCTCTTATCCATAGGGCTCAATGAAAACTGACAGCACAGAGTAGGTATACAATTAGGACATATATTGAAAGCAAATTTAATATATAACTTTTATTTGTGGGTTCTTCATATATAGAATTTTTATTTTTTCCTTATATTCAAAATTGCAAAAATTCT